GAGGTCCCTTCCAATCCCTAACGTTCTTTGACTCTGTGTGATTCTGTTATTAGGGGTCATATTTATTTGCTATGTAAAATGTAGGTCTGTCTCGGTTTCATCAGTTTGACATTTGGTGGGTATACAAAATGACCAGTATTCTCTTTGGCTTTTCCTATTCCTTTTTGCAGTCATTAATTACATGTTTTTCCTATTTGCACCTCTTGTTCATCTGTGGCAGTGCATCACCCGTTTTAAATGCCTGCTGAATACTGAACATTACTATTCAGTGACCCACTTATACCACTCAGCATAACTGCAGATTTTGGTCAACAGAGTTCCAGGAAAGTGTAATTTTTAGCATTAAATATGAAAGTGTGTTTTTGTAGTCCATGTGAAAACAAATTTTCTAAATGCAGAGTTGATGGTGTTTATACTCTTTATTTATTTACGTATATATTTTTTGTTCTGCTACCTTTACAATTACATATTTGCTGATTATGAACTTGCAATTATAATCCTGAAGCAGCTTACCAAGTCTGGTAGTTAAAATGGATTTGTTACTCCACAAAATGATCTTATTGGTTCTATAGTAGAAGGAAAAAGAACTGAGAGCCACTCATATTAAACACTTTATTAATATATGTCCCGATCTTGGAAAGACTTGGACATGAGTTCATGTTGTGAAAAGTCTTCGCAGGACTAAGACCCTAGCTGACTTAAGAAATCAAGTGCTTTAATCAGTGTATGAGTTCAACAGAAATATTTAAAGGTAATATAAATTTTAGAGGTATAAATATTGAAAAATATTTCTAATTCTTTGACTTGAATCTGGTAACTAAAAAAAAAAATATTCACGATTTGTTGTTCTATTAGTTGTGTTAGGATGCAAGTATGATGTTATTTAGTAAAATCATTTGATCAAAAGTTGTTGAAAAAAAGTTATAAACCAAGCTTTTCTCTTGATTTTTGCTTCTGTATCATTAGCTGTTATTCTCCTATTACCTTCTGTACTGGTTTTGGCTGGAATAGAGTTAAATTTCTTCATAGTAGCTTATATGGGGCTATGTTTTTAATTTGTACTGAAAATAGTGTTGATAACACAGGGATGTTTTAGCTATTGCTGAACAGTGCTTCCACTGTGTTGAGTCCTTTTCTGCTCCTCACAGTACCCTGCTGCTTGGGGACTGGCTGGGCATTGGTTGGCTGGTGGTGATCAGTTGTATTCATTTGCATTGCTTGTGTTTTTCTTGTGTTTTACCTCCTCTTTCTTATGTTTTTTTCCTCCTTACAATTTTAAAAAAAATATTATTTCTTTTTAATTATTAAACTGTCTTTATCTCAACCTACAAGTTTCTTTTTCACTTCTACCCTTCCGATTCTCCATCCCATCCTGCTGGGGTGTGGGGTGTGGGTGTGGAGTGAGTGAGTGGTTGTGTGGTGTTTAGTTGCTGACCAGGGTTAAACCATGACAGTCCTTTTTGGTGCTCAACATGGGGCACAAAGGGTTTGAGATAATAACAGATTTGATCAGAGCATATTAGAAGGGATTTATATCTGTTAACAGTTGCTGATCACAATATTGATTTATCTGTTCTTTATATTAGTTTATCTGATCTGTGCCATGCTCCTTTTTTTGCTGTACATGTTAAAGATGGGTTTTTTTTGCTTTTGGCTTTTGCAGTTTACTGTGCTCTCCTAGTACTTAGTGGTGTTTTGCCTGGGAGATTTATTATTAAAACAGTGGCCTTGAGCTTAATCTGGTATTTGGGCTCTGTACTGAAGCCATTACTGTACTTCGGGTACTATCACAGGGAGACAATTAACAATTATACTTCTTCCTCCAAGAGGATTTTTTTGTGGAGGAAATACAGAATGGCATCTTCACCACCTTCTTCCATGATGTTTTCTCCCTTGTTACAATAACTCTTCAGTATCCTGAACATCCTTGGGTAGTCAAAAAGCTTCTATTGGCATGAGCAGGTATCTAGAAAGCTTCTCACCTCTGATGGTCTGGAACTTCACTCCAGAAGAAATGCAGAATCCTGATGAAGTAATAGAATGTTGGGGGGTCACTAATGCAAGTGAACTCATCAGGGATGTCAAGATTGGAGGCAGCCTGGGCTGTAGCGATCATGTGCTGGTGCAGTTCACTGTCCTAAGGCATATGAGTCATACGAGAAGCATAGTCAGGACCCTGAATTTCAGGAAAGCCAACTTCCAGCTCTTCAAGGAGTTAGTCAATAGGACTCCCTAGGAAATGGCCCTCAAGGACAAAGGAGCAGAACAGAGCTGGCAGATCTTTAAGGAAGCTTTCCACAAAGTGCAAGAGCTCTTGATCCCCAGGTGTAAGAAATTGGGCAAGGAAAGCAAGAGACCAGCATGGATGAGTTGAGACCTGCTGGCCAAATGAAAGGCAAGATGGAACTACACAGGCAGTGGAAGCAGGGACAGGTAGCCTGGGAAGAGTACAGGAATGTTCCCCGGGTGTGTAGGGACGAGGTCAGGAAGGTCAAGGCACATCTGGAGCTGAACTTGGCAAGGGATGTCAAGAAAAACAAGAAGAGCTTCTACAGGTATGTCAACCAGAAAAGGAAGGTTAAAGAAAGCGTAGCTTCCCTGATGAGCAGCAATGGTGAACTGGTAACAACAGGTGAGGAGAAGGCTGAGGTTCTCAACAACTTTTTTGCCTCAGTCTTCAGTGGCAACCTCTCTCCCCACAGCTCTCGAGTTAATGGCCCACAAGACAGGGACCAGGGAGAGAATGCCCCTCCCACTGTGAGTGAAGATAAGGTTCGTGACCATCTGAGGGTCCTGAATATACACAAGTCCATGGGACCTGATGAGATTGAGCAGATTGATTATATCAAAACAGAAAATCCCACCGTGGCTTGACATGAGCCGGGAATGTGTGCTTGCAGCCCAGAAGGCCAACCGTATCCTGGGCTGCATCAAAAGAAGTGTGGCCAGCAGGTCAAGGGAGGTGATTCTGCCCTTGTACTCTGCTCTCGTGAGACCCTACCTGGAGTACTGTGTCCAGTTCTTGAGTCCCCAGCAGAAGAAGGACATGGAGCTGTTGGAGCGTGTCCAGAGTAGGGCCATGAAGATGATCAGAGGGCTGGAGCACCTCCCCTATGAGGAGAGACTGAGAGAGTTGGGATTGTTCAGCCTGGAGAAGAGAAGGCTCTGGGGAGACCTTATTGCAGCCTTCCAGTTCCTGAAGAGGTCCTGCAGGAAAGCTGGGGAGGGACTATTTACAAGGCCATGTAGTGATAGGACAAGGAGGAATGGCTTTAAACTGGAAGAGGGTAGTTTTAGACTAGATATTAGGAAGAAAATCTTTATGATGTGAGGGGTGAGACACTGGCACAGGTTGCCCAGGGAAGTTGTGGATGCCCCCTCCCTGGAAGGGTTGAAGGCCCGGGGGGAACCTGGTCTAGTGGGAGGTGTCCCTGCCCATGGCAGGGGGTTTGGACTGGATGATCTTCAAAGTCCCTTCCAACCCAAAACATTCTATGATTCTATGACATCATGCTCAGCAATAAAAGTTTGGGTGGGAGGTTGGTGGGAAGCTGCTGCTTGGGTAGTGACTTGGCATTGGTTGGTGGGTGGTGAGCAATTGTTTTCATTTTTATTGCTTGTCTGTCTTGGGTGTTTCTCTCTCTGTTTTGTGGTGGGTTTTTTTTTTCCCCCTCCTCTTTTCCTTACATTTTGAAAAAAATATTTATTTTTTTAAATTCTTAAGCTGTCTTTATCTTAACCCATGTGTTTCTTTTTCACTTTTACCCTTCTGATTCTTCCCTCCATCCCACCTGGGGGAAGTGAGTGAGTGGCTGTGTGGTGCTTAGTTGCCAGCTGGGGTTAAACTATGACACCACCTCAGCAGTCATAAAATATATTGAGCAGAAGATGGAAAGGAGGGATAAAAAGTTGCTATATTGGTTTACTTTTGTGGTGTTTTGCACACTTGCAGCTGTAACTATATAAGACTGAAGTCTTCAAGTTTTTCTGCATTTTGTTCTTATAGGGAGATTGTTAGTGTTTGTAGTATGTTCTGATTCATGTTCTACGGCATGAATTGGATAAGGAATAAATTTTTAATAATTACTTTTTAGTTTCATCCAGTCAATGGTTTTCTTTGATAGCTTGATGGGACTTCATTATATGCCAAGAGACATGGTTACGAATTATTTCAGTCCTGTGCCTGAAAATAATTTAGATCTTTAATCAGGATTTCCGCTTTCAATTAAGTTTGTTTGTTTTTGTTTTGGTTTTGGGTTTTTGGGTTTTTGTTGTTGTTTTTTTTACTTTTGTTTTTCAAAATATGTCTTATCCTTTTAGGCCTGAACTGTTTACAAGTATTTGGCAATCTGTTGAAATGTTTCTAAATCATCTTGTATTAGGAAGGAAACATGCCATTGGAAGATTTACTGGCATTCTATGGCTATGAACCCACAATTCCAGTTATGGCCGGTTCCAGTGTGGATAGCTCTCCAAGTGAGCTTGCGGATGAGCTTCCTGATATGACTCTAGATAAAGTAAGTTAGAACTATTTTTCCCTGTATTACAGTTTAAAAGCAGAAATCCTTAATCCAGTGACCTTAAATTATATTTCACTATCTCTTGATGTTACAAAATACATATTTTTGTTAATTTCAATATACAATTAAGAGTTACTGTACTTACTAGTCCTAGTGGTGGACTTGACAGTTAGGTTAATGGTTGGACTCAATGATCTTAAAGGTCTTTTGCAACCTAAATGATTCTCTGATTCTACTCTGAATTAATTCTTTTTCAAGGATATTGAGGATCTGAATGTAATTACAATTATCACACACGTATAGCAACTTTAGTGGTACTATATTACTGCAAATGAGAAATGAGTAAGTTAACAGTTCTTCTAAAACACATCCAGAGAACTTTAAACAGATTAAAAAAAAATAGAAGTGGGATTTTTCTTCAAAGATCTGTATTTTATTTTAGTGTATGCAATGTCCAGAAATAATAAATCTGGCTTCCAACATACATGTCATTTATCAAACCACTGTGGATAACTTCAAATACACTTCTGAATGCTTGGGAATGTTCCTTTCAAATGCATATAATTTAGAAAGATCTCAGCTTTGGAGGGTGAGAGAGAGATTATTTTATGTGCAATGACTATATGCGTTGTTGAATATAAAAACATGAAACTTCAGGTTTTGTGATCTACAGGCTTTGAATTTTGTGACTAATCTGATTTTTTTGGCTGTAAGGCATATGAAGCTAATAGTTTGTATTATAAAATCTGTGGGTAGCAAGTATGTGTCTTTTTTTTCTTTACTTTCTCGAAGTATGATGAAATTATAAACTCCATAGAAAGTAGGGTATAATGATGCCTCTGCAGATTTGATTCTCATTAGGAGTCATGATTGTGTTGAGGCTACAGAAATGTAGTTGTCTTGTTGTCTAATACAGTTCTTTCCCTCCCTCATTTCTATACAGAGGGGTTTCAAACGTCTGCTAGTGGAGGAAGTGTCCTCTTTCTTTTCTCTCCCCTCTCCCAGATCATTTTTTGGTGTGATTTGGGAAGATAATGGGTTGTCTATTATCTGTAACTCCTCTCAGCAAAAGTCTATAAAAGTCCTGTTGGGGTTTTTTTTGGTTTTGTCCCCATCCCCCCCGCCACCTCCCCCTCAGAGTTTAAGGGGTAACAGCCTGTTAAAAGCTATAGTATATCTGTGATACAAAGAATGACAGAATTCTAAAGATTTCCGCTGGCATTTTTCATTCAAAGCAGTTGGAGGAACATCTAAGCTTTGATGCTTGCAGAGGTTACTACTTGTGCATTTATTTTAATAGAAGACAAGGGGGAAATGATCATGGAAGCGATCAACTCTGAAATGAATGGTTATATTTGTTCTGAGATTTAGGAGTGAATTACCTTTTTAATTAAGAGAGGATGGTCTACTAAAATTACTTATGGTAAAATAATTCATTTAAATAATGGGACTTACAATTTGCTGAATCTAAATGCTTGCCAGTCTACACTTAATAGTCTGAGGTTCTATTTTTTATTTTAATGATACAGGAGGAAATAGCTAAAGACCTCTTGTCGGGTGATGATGAAGAAACACAGTCCTCTGCTGATGACTTGACACCATCAGTTACTTCACATGAGGCTACTGACTTCTTTCCTCGGCCATTAAGATGTAGGAAACCTAATTTTATAATAGTATTCTAAGTCTTAGCATTATATATAGCTTCCTAGTTTAAAATATAAAAATTGCAGAGTAGTGCTGACTTTACCAGGAATTGAGAAACAGTGCTTTGCAATATGTCATACATGAATGTTGTCTTTGATATTATTGATTACCTGAAAGTTCTATATTTATTACTGTGCTCAAAGCACAAGTGAAATTAATTTTTCTACAAATACAATAACTTTTCATAATTAATAGTTAATGTGTTGTGGAACACTTTTCGTGATTTTCAATATGGTAGTGAATGACATGAACATGTAACCCATTCTTTTAAATTGGTGTTTCTCTATTGAAATTTTTACTGCTGCTTTTAAGCCAGCAATTCCTCTATTCATCCTGTGGATGTGAACTGGGATGTAGTTTCTTTGTGATTGTTTCCTTTCACACCTTCAACAGTTTTCCACAGGACTTCATGAGCCAAAGTGGTTTTATATGGGATGGGACCTATGAACCCATGACCATCAAAATATGCTCTACCCATAGAGCTATTATGGGAAAGATCTGAGAACCAGTGATTCAGTTATCCAACCTTGGACAAGATATTCCTCATTGTTCCAACTCTAGTATACCAGTGAACAAATGAACTGCAATAGGCAACGTGGAGGATTTTTATCACGTTTTTAATTTGGCAAGTATCTTGAGCTGTTTCTGGGAGATTTCATCCCCCTAGAGAAGTGAGATGATAAATGAGACATGCTGTCTCAGTCATTCGTAACCATTTGCATGCTGCCAATTGTGTAATTTAAGACATTTCTATTGAGAGAGATTAAAGAAACATTAAAAATTATAATGCCCTTGTTTAGTTAAACAAACCCCAACCTTGCTGACACTTAAACATTGCTTGTGAATTGTTAGCAAGCATGAGACTTAGTGTGGCAGCTTTATGGAAAAAATACTAGCCCCTCATCTTACTCAGGATTAAGAAACAGTAATCTTTGCTTTCAGCTATCATGGTTTTCTATCAGAATGTTACTCTTTCTCTATTGGAACTTCTTGTTGGGCATTTTAAAATTGAATATCTACCATTTCAGGGAGGGAAATGTCAGTTTTCTGTGCTGTTGACAGTTTCATCTTTTTTTTTTTCCCCTCCTGATTTCTGTATCTCTAAGATAACATTCAATTTTAAGATAAACATGTCTAACACATAGGGTATTTTATTAAATTTGAATTAATTGGAAAAAAATAATTACATATTATTATCCAGGCATATTGTTCTTTCATGCATTCATGTTAGCTTCTTGCCTGCTACTTCTAACAGCAAAAAGAGAGAGACTGGTGATTGTAGTAATGACTACAGAAGAGGAGCCTCAGTCCATACAGTCTTGGTTATTGTTGCTGATGTTGATTCTTTTTAGTTGTAATGAAGCTAAAATTGCAACTCTATTTATGAGCATGTTGTTACTGAAAATTGAGAATACAAAATAGCTTTAATCTTATCAGAACTGTAGGTTCCATTCTGTCATGGCTAAAATAAAAAAATAGAATTACTTCAGAACCCAGTACCACAGTGTTCTAGATTCTAAAATATGAGTTATTCTGTGGAATACTGTATTTAAATTACTTGAAGAGCTCTACTGTATTTCTTCCGAAGGAAGGGGAAAAAAAAATAGGAATAACCAGTCTTTTGATGTATCTTGTTTATCTTCATGCTGAGATAGCCTTGTTTAAAGGAATGTTTTCAATGCTTTAGTAGGTAATAAAGACTTGCCTTCAACTTTACTTGCTTTGTGATTACCAAGGGGCTGGGCTTTCTGTTTTTCTCATACCTTTTTTATAAGGTATAAGCCTTTATTGAAGAAAATTGATCTCATTTCCTTTTGACTGTTAGAAATATGGTAGATTGTCTCAGTTGCAGTGATGATAAATGTTTCAGTTCTGCAATGTACAAGTACCAATGCTTTCTGACTTCATGCTAGTTTGATAGAAATGTAGATCAACAGACTAATGATGAGTGTCTCCCAGAATAAAAGCAGGGGCTCCTTTCAAAAGTAAGGGATATATTGTAGTTCTGTGTTTGAACTGAAAATTCTTCCTAGCTAAAACCAAACTTTTTTGTCTGAAGCAAACACTATATGTGATGGAGATAAGGAATCGGATCGTGAAGATGTAGAGGCAGACAATGGTAATTCATCTGAAGATTTGAGAAAGGTAATAAATATATCTTTAAAAAATTAAGAAAAAGTTTACTATCAAGAAAAATACATTAAGTTTTATAGTGCATATGTAAAATAATACCTTAATTCTGGAATTCTCAGCAAAATGCCATAAAACATGGAGTTTCTAATGCTTCCATGCACAAAATATTAAGCTAATACCTTTCTCTTGTGGTTTTTGTTAAATCTTAAGGAAATAATGGTTGGTTCACAGTATCAGGCTGAAATTCCACCTTACCTTGGCAGATACAGTGATAATGAAAAGGGTAAGTTATTCTGACTGTTTTACTTTTTACCTTATGTTTATACATAGCAGTTGATGGAAAAATGTTATTTAAATTTATAAGATAGGTTCAGTGGCTTAGTTAGCCTCAGGGACCTTAAAAACAAACAAACCAACCCCTAGTCAACTAAAGTAACGCAACCACATATTATATCTCAGAAATGTGATTCTACAACTTTGAGAGGAGATTTTCAAGAAGACGCAGGACAGTGGATTAGTGTTAATTCTGAAGTACCTAATAATATTAGGAGGCAACAATTTGGGTCAAGAAGGTCCTGATAAACTTTGTCTTTTAAAGAATATGCTTTAAGTATGATTTTATTTATGTGTAAATTTAGGTTAAAAACTGCAATTTTTGTTAGAGTAGAAAAAATAACTAATAGAGTTTTATTTGCTATCTTTAGAAACCCTCACTATGAGAAAAGTATAGCACATATAGCTGTGGAATTCAAAAAGCAAATATTGAAATAAATTTGATCATGGGTGGAACAGCTGCGAAATTAAGGAACAGTTTGAGGAATGTTTTAATAAATAAAGGGCATTCTGTTTTTTCTTCTGTAAGTTACTTGTGTTCGAAATGTAACATTTCAAGGGTACATCATTCTAACGAAGTTTATCAAGTCTTTCCACCATTTCCAACTGCTTTTTGAAGAATGATCCTTTGCAATAGCAAAGAAGAATGTTTAGTATGGCTGGAGCTAGAAGCATTAGCAAGAGAACATCTCCTGTGTTGCTTAGGAGACCTAGGGAAGTTTCCTATTTTCTAAGACACAAGCATGGTGCTTACCAGTTATAAGAAATGGAGGAGTAAGAACCAGATTTATCTGAATAGTCCTTATACTATTTATACATCTTGACTTCTCCTTGGTCAAGAACTAGAGAAAGGCCAATAACCAGAGGATGATCAAGGAAGGTGTTAATCTGACAACTTTCTCTGGAATGAACTGGTGCTAGAGAGAGCCAGTGAGAGTATTGTCTGCTGACATGGCCAAGAGCAAAGAGGTAGCTTCTAGATGGGAGAAACTGAGAAGCTCTTCTTGAGAATATCAAGCATGGACTCCAGCAAGAAGTGCTGGGTTGTCTTGATTGATAATGGAGATTGAAGCTGAGTGTCAGCAGTGCTCAGGGAGGTTGGACTTGATTTTATGGGTGGAGGATTCTGTGAAAGCCTCTCCTGTACTCCTTGAAGATCTTGTGATGGCAAACGGGCTTATATTTCTGCTATGTACTTCCAGCTACCGGAATTGGCAGTTCTGCTCTTGTATAAACCTTACATTTGTAACACATCTGTTTGAAAGCTTTCCATGTTCTTAATCTGTAACAGAACTTTCAGAGGAGATGTATTGGGTTGGCCAAAAAGTAATTGCAGTTTTTTAAAATAGATGTACATACATGTCCTGAGATGTAACTAACTTCATTTTAAACTGCAAATTCTTTATATAAATTGACAGCTGACAGTTCAAGCTTGTTTTAGAAAAAGTGCATGATTTTGTTAACAATTATTTATTTGGTGTCAATTTCAAAATGGAAAATCAAAAGGAACATTTTTGTCATATTTTGCTGTATTACTTCCAAAAAGGAAAAAACGCTGTGCAAGCTCAAAAAGTTATGTGATGTGTATGGTAAAGATGCCTTAAAACTGTCAGAATTGGTTTGCTAAATTTCAGTCCAGAGATTTTGACGTGAAATATGCACAATGCTCAGAAAGGCCAATCAAAGTTGTTAACAACAAAATAAAGGCATTGATCAACTCAGATTGGTGTTTAACGACACAAGAGATTGCTGATAATCTTAACATATCGAAATCGACCATTGAAAACCATTTAAAACAACTTGGATACATTAGGAAGCTCGATATTTGGGTACCACATGAGCTCAAAGAAATTCATCTCACTGAGTGAGTGCATTGACATCTACGATTCTCTCTTGAAACGGGAAGAAAATGATCCCTTTTTGAAACATGATAACAGTCAATGACAAATGGATCATCTACAGTAATGATGAACGAAACAGAACATGAAGAAAGCGTGATGAACCAGCTCAAAGCACGTCAAAAGCAGATATCTACCAAAGGAAGGTTATGCTGTCAGTCTGGTGGGATTTCAAAGGTACTGTATTTTGTATTTCCAAGGAACCAAATCATTAATTTGGATGTGTACTGTCATCAACTGCATAAATTATGTGATGCCATCAAACAGAAGCATCCAGAATTGGTGAATCGCAAAGGTGTTGTGTTTCTCCATAACGCTAGACCACATACAAGTTGGGTCACTCGTCAAAAATTGTTGCAGCTCGGATGGGATGTGTTACCACATACACCATATTTGCCAACTCTGGCACCATCAGACTGCCATTTGTTTCGTTCTTTACAAAATGCCTTGCATGGTAAAACCTTCACTGCTGATGAGGATATCAAATTATTCTTGGAACTGTTTTTTGCTGGAAAAGACAAAAACTTTTATGAGCGTGGAATCATGAAGTTGCCTGAAAGATGGCAAAAGGTAACTTTGCCAACTCTGTCTTGCAAACATGATGCCCATCTACAAGAA